GAGGCAACACAAAGGGGCCATTTACTGGCCAAAGATGGGGGAGGTCGAGCATCAAAAAGAATTAGTGCAATGGGTTAATATATACAGTATTTATGAGTCTGTGATTTCATGAGACTGAAAAAAACTAAAATACTTGATTACCTTTGGACAATGCCAGGACACCAAGTTATATTCTGAAAAGAAAGAATGATGTCTTTGGATCTTTCTTCAGTACTGGGCATTAAACCCAGGGGTAGTCTACCACTGAGCTATATCCCCAGCCCCTTTTATTTTATATGTTGAGACAGGGTCTTGCTATGTTGGTCCTTGCAAAATTGCTGAGGTTAGCCTCATCCTCTGAAATAGCTGGCATTACATGTGTGTGCCACCACAACTGGCTCCTTTTTAATTCTTCTTTTGAGACAGGGTCTTGCTAAGTTGTCTGGGCTGGCCTTGAATTTGTCATCCTGTCTCAACCTCCAGACTTGCTGGGATTACAGGTGTGCATCACTGTGCCTGGCTGGACTCCTTGAAGTTGAGACAGAGACGAGGATTTGTCCATTAAAGGAGAATTAAATATTAATCAATTGAAGGAATTGTATTTGGTGTTATTGAGAGGCAGTGGAAACTGTAGCAGTGGGGCTTTGTTGGGGGAAGTAGGTCACTAGAGGCATGCTTTAGAGGGCATGTGTCATCCCTGGCACCTGGCTTACATGTGCTCTTACTTGCTCTCTGGTTCTTGGACACATTGAGAAAGCAGCTTTGCTGTACTATACCCTTCTGCCTTGATGAAATATGTAAAATCCGGAATTAGATAATAGGATTTATTACCTGGGATTGCCAAATAGATGGCAAGAAAACAGAGTAGGGAAACTCTTGTATTAAATAAACCTAAAAGACATGTCAGTTTCATGCATATGAGCATCTTGAGATCTTGATAAGTATTTTTTCCAATTTATTTATTCATATCAGGCATTTGAGAATAAACATTGAACATCTGATAACAGAGATTACCAGAAACTCCTTGTTAGGTACAATAGATTTGTAGTTATGTTGAAATAAGGTCCTTATCACAGTTACTTAATTTATTTCAGCATGATCTGATATGAAAATAGGACATGTTGACCGAGCTTTAAGTATAGAATCAACAAGATCCAGATAATTGATAATTGAAGCTGGTAATGGATATATGGATGCTCATTTTACTAGTTTTTCTACTTTACCAATTTGAAAATTTATAGAAAATCAAATTCCATCAATTAGTAAACTTTGGTTTGGTACTGAGGACTGAACCCAGGGGCACTTTACCTCTGAGCTTCATCCCCATCCTTTATTTTTTATTTTGAGACAGGTCTTGCTAAGTTGCTAATGGTCTCACTAAATCGCTGAGGCTGTCTTTGAACCTGTGATTCTCCTGTCTCGGTCTCCTGAGTGATTGGGATTATTGATGTGAGCCACCGAATTCAGCAATTACTAAAGAACTTGAAGATGCTCTTTAGAATCTACATGAGCTTCTCTATTGGCTCTTTATCTTGTAATTAAATCTGCTTTAATAAATAACTTTTTGAATTTTTATGGTAACTAATATTCAAGCATGGTTAGGCATTCTGTTTGTGGTGCTGGGGATGAACTCTAAAATCTTCTGCAAGCTAGGCAGATGCTGTCTCATAGAGCTATACTCCCAGACCCACAGTAAACCTTTAAAAAAAATAATTTTATCTGTTAGTCTGAGAACTTTAATCCCATTTTTCCCTCAAGAGAGAAAATCCTTAAATTTCCTTATGATTCCAAATGATTAATTAATTTATAAATAGATTATGTTGGCTTTTTTCTTTAAGTAATGCAACTACTTCAATAATTCAGTTTTTTTCTCCCTCAAACATAAGTGCAGCAGTTGTTTTTCTCACTTTATAAGCTTCAAGAAAAACCACTGGAAATGTTTCTTGATGGCGGATCCATGAATCTTGTGATTTTCTTTTTTCTTTCCCTTCTATGTATTATAACAGATTTTATCAATAGAGTGCTTATCAGGTGTCAAGCACTATTCTAGACTCTGAATGCAACAGTGAGCAAGATAGTCTAATTTACTACCTGTTGTTAAGGAGTACAGCCTGCTTATTTGTGTTACAGGTGCAGGTGAAACACTATTTTGTTGAATTGAGCTTTAATAATTTAATAATGTAGTGGAAACAGTCAATTAAAACATCAATATTTATTGTCTTGACTTCTAAATATTTAAATCAAATCTAAATAAAACCTAGTTCTAAAAGCTCAGGTGGGAGGTGGTAGAGAAGTGGGTGATAGTGTTTAACTAACAGTATACAGCAAATTTGATARGCACAGGGGTGGGATAGAGTTTCTCAAGTCCTCTCCATAGCAGAAGTTCATATTTTTGTGCTCTGTGAGTACCATTTATGCCATAGGTTGGCTTGTTTTCATGTTGAGTCTTCTGGCTTTTGTACTGATAAGAGTGGAGCAGAGAAATCAGAGGTAAAATTGTGAGATTAGTTTCTGGGCAAATGGAATTCTAGATGTCAGAACACTAACTGTATGGAATTAGTTTTTATGTTTGTCTAAAATGGAACTTGAGAGAATCAGATAATGGAAACTGGACAACCATATAAGGGAACTAGTTATTCTGGAGTGACTTCAAGTAAATAAATGTTGAATGTACACTTTGAAGAATGAGTAGAAATTCCTTGGAAAATAGAGCTAATGCATTCCTTTTAATGTTACAAAAAGAATATCTTATTTAAAGAATTTCCTGAAAGCCCTGAGAAGTTGATATTTGTTTTTGTAATATGAATAATCATCTGCTAATTGACCTCAATTCAGCATGTATATTTGTGTTTGGGGGGAAAAGTTTTGTACTCCCCAAATTGAGTTTAATAGGGGTGAATACTTAATTTTTTAAAACTCTACTTCCTATCCTTATGGTGTCAGATGCTTGATTAAAATAGATGAGTAATTGCATATGTGTAGCAAATGATCCTTAGTTACCCTGAGTAAATATTTACACAGTGTGAGTAACTTTTATGTCAGCTAAAATAATATATAACAGTTCTGAAATCTGTATGTTGGAACATTTTTTTGTTAGGGTGTACTTTTAAGCTTTTTATAGAAAATTAGTCCCTGTCCCGCAGTATTTACAATTATGAACACTTGAGTTATTTTTATACAAATCTCAAACTAATATTTAATCTGCAAATTCTAAGTAGATGGTTTTACTTATTTTTTTTATTGTTTTCCTTCCTTAGATTGATACTCCCTTTACCATTTCTTTGGTAGACTTCTCCTTGATGATTTGCTTTGTTTTGCTTTGTCATAAAAATGATTTCATAGTGGTTCTCCCTTTCCTCATCCTTTTTATGATTGCAAATAGGGTGCCCCTGAATTTGGTTCATCTATATTTTCCTTGGCATTTCAGATGAATAGGTAGCAGCTGCGGCATTTATTCTTTTGCTTTTAGGGAAAGGGAAGAGGCAAAGAACTAGTTTGTGACTTTAGTGTAAACTGGTGTTTTGCTGTGGAACTTGAAAAACATGAATTATTTGACCTGGAAAGGGAAATTCACTGTAGTTTTAAAATTTTATAAGTTGAAGAAGTCTAATTTTTCACTTGATGTCAAATTCCATTGTTAGGTTTTTTGGGGGGGTGGGGTGGGGGAGGTGGGGGTGGGTGCTGGGGATTGAACTCAGGGCCTTGTGCATGCTACCAACTGAGCTATATCTCCAGTCAGGGTGTTTGTTTTTTAATATTTTTTTAGTTGTCAATGGGCCTTTATTTTATTTATTGATACATGGTGCTAAGAGTTTGACCCAGTGCTGGACACATGCTAGGCAAGCGCTCCACTGAGCCACAACTCCAGCCCCTTGTCAGATTTTGTTGTTATTTTTATTATTTTATTTTTTAAGATGATATTTAATGTGGTCAGAGAGGCCTGATTCCACAAAATTTTTATTGATTTTAATAGATAACTAAAACTTCTTACTTACTTACTCCTTACTACTAAGGGGCTATGGGTATGTGGCATCTCTAGTACAGTCTCACATAATTGTGTGAATGTAGGCATTTGGATTAAGGTGGGGTTTCTTAACATTTTTCTCTACTATGGACTCTTGGCAGTCTGAAACCTATACAATTCTTCTTAGGATCTTTTTAAATGTATGAAATATATAGGGATTATAAAGGAAACAAATAACTTTGAAATACAGTTAGCAAGCTTTTTTTCCCCTAAATATTTATTTTTTAGTTTTAGGTAGATACAATATCTTTATTTTACATTTATGTGTTGCTAAGGATCGAACTCAGTGCCTCGTGCATGCTAGGCGAGCACTCTACCACTGAGCTACAACTCCAGCCCCATAGTTAGCAAACTTAAAACTCAGTAATATTGTGCTTAATGTTAAGTAACAAGTTCTAGCAATCTTATTTGTATCTTACCGCAGTAAGTAGAGATATTTAAAGATTCCCAATAACTTAATGTGACACGAAAATATCTGATGTATATTGATATCAAAATTACATGTATTATAATTCCATGATTTATTATTACATTCATAATTGAAGACAGTGTTAAATTTTTGTCAGGGGGTAGTGAAAATATGTGATTCTCACCCGTTGTTCCCAATTTTGAGTTCCCTGAATTCTATTCATGTCTTGGCTGTGATCTCAGAATAAAAACATCTGGACTTTGTGTCCTGTGAGGCTTAATTTTAGGAGAAAGTGTTTGAACTTTGAATGTAGTCATCCAACAAAATGTTTTTCAAACATTTTTTCTGCTAGTTTTAGTGACTTTTAAAATGTCATAATAATCCAATAATGCCAGATCCCCAAATGGTCTCAATATGCATCTTACAATTAACTTTTTCATTGGGCTACATTTTCTCATTATATGTTGGTGTATAGTTAATAAGATATTGGTATTTCATACAGTTTCTAAACTTCCATGTTGGCTGTTAATGTAATTTGCTTTTGTGTTTTTCTTAAATTTTTTTTTTTTGTTTTTAATTATTCTGCAGGATTCGGAAACTTCAGATACGAAATATCCCGCCTCATTTACAGTGGGAGGTAAGAATTTCTATATTTGAATTTAAGATCCAAATATCAAAGTCTACTGCTGTTAGTTTTTTCAGGGTTTTTTCTCCTTCCTTCAATTATCCGGTATGCTATAACACAAAATCCTTCTCTTACGGCCTGTGTCTTGATGTGAGTTTTTCTTCCTAATGATATGGTATATCTTTTACAAGTCTGTCTTGGAAATTAAAAAAAAAAAAAAAAGTTGTCACAGTCTTGAATTACCAGGTTATCTTCCTCATTCCATCTGGGCAGGATCTTGTTGGTTTGAGTTTTTCCTAGTGAGTTTGTCAATTGTATTAAACTACGAAGTTCCCTCATGGCAATTTTTTTAAAAAGATGAGTAGTGCTACCTTCACTTTATTTTGAAATGTTATTCTGCTTCCTTTTGCTCAGATGGTGGCACTGTAGTGATGATGTATAAACACAAACTATGTAGCAGAGTTGAATAGCCTGTGTCAGCATCTACTAAAGCATTGTAAGGATGTCATGGTGAGAATTTGAGGCAATAGTAGATGAAGAGATCAAAGAAAATGTCAGTTGACTCTTCCAGATGATGGATTCTGCAAGTTCTTAAAACCTGCCTTAGAGAAGGTGCTGCAGGGAAACTTCTCAGCTTTTATGTATTTCAAATATAAAAATCAAAAAGTAACTAGTTTTGTGTGTTTCAGATCAGTCTTCTGAAGTGACATGTGATGGGTCACTAAACCAGAGCACTTAGAAAAATCAAAGTATGATTAAAAAGGTTCTTTGGTGAGTTGAGGAATGAAGGTCTACAGTTTGATTCCCCAAGGTCCTTCAGTTGGTAACAAATAATTTGTGCTCAGAATGTTTTAAGCAATGTTATCTTCTGAATAATTTTATTGCATTTAATCTTTGCAGGAAAGGATTAGTTTTTTTGGTATATGCTAAATGTTTCAAGTTATTCTATGTATTAAAAATAAGTCACTGTTTCCATCTACAAAGGATAAAAGATTAAATTCCTACATTTTTCTGTTTTAGATTGTTTGCTTGGGGCATTTAGTAGCTTGGGGATTGGGTCCCCAAATCTGTTATGGTATCAAGATTAGCAGTTTGATACCCGTATTTGAGGATGAGCCATATTAAATATGGTTTCAAATGTGATTTAGTATGATATTCTGTTCAAGAATTACATGTAATATAATGTACTTTTAATGAAATAGTCTAATAGTTGCAGCCAATCTTAGGTAAGTTATTAGTACAGGCTATGTAAGTTATTCTGTTACAGGCTAATGGCAGAGTTTTCTTTTAATTCTTTCATAGTATCTATTCAGATTTGTGGCTTCTCAAGCTTTTCCCTCATTCAGGGTAAAATCTAATCTAAGTAAGAAAAAYAAACCTTTATTTGCTGAACTTAATTTTTCTTAACTTTCATTGTTTGTTTTACCTTCTCCATAGTCCTTTGAGGTATCATCAGTTGGTGACATTTTCATTTTCAAATGGGAAAATGTGGGCAAAAAGATTAAAATAATTAAGGAAGAACACAGAAAAAGCTTGCAACTAGATTTTGGAACTCTTCACCATTGATCTCCTTTTAAATATTCATTAATTGTTTGATATGTTGATTAACAAAAGGAAATTTATTAAGGACCTGTAAGGAGTGGGATGAACTTGTGTTTCCTTTTATTGAAGACTTGAGTGAATACCATTTATTTCTTTTTGGAGAAGGGCCACTTTATATATCATTATTTATACCATTATAGTGGGTATGCTGGCTGTCTTGGGCCTAAGCCTTACTGTAGACTGTGGTAATTTTGCACTTAGAGTTCCAGATTCCTATTACAATGGAAGGATTAGGCTTTGAATCCACTGATTAATTTTAGGATCACAGAAAGAGGAACAACCAGACATTATGTACCTCCTGACTTGATGGAGTAGAAAATGCATAGCACCATAGACAAAATATTCTTGCCTCAAAAAGGGGTTTGACTGGATTCTGTTTTCATTTAACTTGGATTTTACAAGAAATATGGATGTTGGAGGGACAGATTAAATGATGCCTTAAAGAAACAAATAGCCAAATTCAGAATGTGGGACATTCCATAGGACAAATGATACTGTTTTGCAGATAAGAAGAGGCATGAAAAAGGAAAGGGGATTTAATAAGATTTAGGAAGTTAAAAAAGCAAGCACTTGCCTTCAGTGAGTTACTTGTGAACAGTGTAAATAGGCCTGTGGAAAGGCTTGGAGTACCTGGAAGAAGCCTTATAGTGTTATTTTGTAGGAAACATTGTAGCTTTGGGGGTCAGTCTTGAAATTATATCCTGGCTCTGCTACATTCTAGTTGGGTGGTCTAGTTATGATTTCTGAACAGGTTTTTAAAATTCTTTGYGCTTCATTTTCCTCATTTCTAATGTAGCCTCCTCATTAGGTTTCATTGAACACTAAATAGGATTATGCGTGCTATTGCTCTTAAAACAGTGCAGTGCTGAGAAGAACAGCTTACAAATAGGAGAGTGCATGTCCTCTCTCTCTCTCTCTCTCTGCCCTCCTGCTTCTTAGTCTCCTAGTTCTTTCTATCTACAGAAACTGACAGGGAACAGCTGGGAAAGGTGAACAGTGCAAAGAGTCCTACCTCAGCATCACAAAGCCCAAGAGTGGATCTGCAATTTAGAGCTTAGTGGATACTAATAATTTTGGTACCCAAAGTTCTAACCTAGAAGTGGAAGATGACCCGCCCTCATCATTCTGCTGGTCATCATAAGCCATTTTCTGTGAGGTCACTGCTGGGACTACCGAATCTGGGACCACACAGAAACACATGTGAGATTACAGTGCTGCTTTAAGATTTGTAACTGGACAGTTTACTTTATACCACTGTTATCTTTACTTTTGTCCTCGTCATCATTATTACTATTATTCTGGGGATAGAATCCAGGGCCTCACACATGATAGGCAAACATTCTACTGCTGAGCTACCCTGTCAACCCCACTTCTGTTTCTCATCATCTTTAAATGACCAAGTATTGAGAAGGGGACTCCTCAAGTTCTCTGGGTAGTGTATCTTGCATACTGTGTGCATTCAGCAAGTGCTAAATGGTTTCTAACCATTTAGTTTTGAGTGATGGTAAATCATTTTTGGACACTGGATTGACCGAATGTTTCTCAAGTGTTTATGGCAGATAAAGATATGATATGAGGAAACTAATTTTTTGAAGGATCTTCTGAGAATTAGGAAGGTTTGTTTGTCACCAAATGTGTGGAATGTAGATGAGAAATTGGAGAAAACTTTGTTCTTTACACTTTTGCCTGGGGAACTTGAGTAGATTTGTAGTCAGGCCTGCGACACACACCTGTAATCCCAGTTGCTCAGGGGGCTGAGGCAGAAGGATTGCCAAATTGAACAGCCTGGACAACTTAGTGAGACCCTGTCTTGAAACGAAAAAGGCTGGGGATAAAAATTAAAAGCTCAGTGGTAGAGCACCCTAAGTTCAACCCCTAACTACCCCACCACCCAACAAAAGGATTGATTGTTGTATATGAAGGGAGCCCCTCCTTCATTAAACACCATGCTTGGGGCAGGCCTAGTAAAATATTTAACTTTAAACATGTGTGATGGTCCTTTTTCTTTCAGTTTACTCAAGTGTGTCCCATTTTCTAAATTTAAGGAATATCTTTCTTTATATTAAAAGAATAATAAAAATAAAAACTCAAAATTCTAGAAAAAAAAATTTTCTCTAATTTATTATCTCACTATTATTGTCTAATAAGAATAATAAAGATTCCTAATAAGTACTCAGTGAAATGCCTGAGGCCATACAACCTTTGAACTGTATGACCCATTAACTATGTAAATAAAGTCATAGAGTAACTAAAGAGCAACACTCTCTTGGGGTCAGTGACAGAAGCAGATGGAGTGATGTTTCCAGAGTTCACATTTAGGGAAAACAATGTGAGGTATAGATGGTCACACCTGTTTTGTAAGATTTTTATCTGCTGCTGGGGCCCTGATGTTGCCCATGACTGAAATGACTGTATTTCCAAGACAAAGATTTGAATATGTGGCCTGACAAGTACTTAAAGGGATGCATTTTGTAAAATCTCCTTTTTGCTGGAAAATACAKAGTGTTCTTTGGCTTTATCTCAACACATAGATATTTAATTTTTCCTGGATTTAATTGAACTTGAAAGACAAATATATTAGGAAGAAATTCTGAAGGGGTTTCAGCACCGTAAGTTTTTTCTTCATTATGTGTTGTGTGGTGTGATTAAGGAAGTGRAAGTTGCCTTTTGGGCCCAACAGTGAAATAAGGGGGGGCTCTTTATAGTTGAAGTATCTTCTGGGTATATACAGGCTGATGGTTAGGGCTCTGGGAGGTAAGTAACTGGTATACTAACAATGAAACACCCAAAGGTCCAGGTGAAAATTGCAGTATACAATATTGCTTGCTGCCCCCATCCAAAGAGCAGAGTTATCTTAATCCTTTTGTCCCATTGTCCCAGATGTGGGACATTTATAAAACCTTAAACTGAGCAACACATGTTAACCTATTGAGTGCAAATATTGAAAACTTGGAACTTAATGGGTTAATGATCTTTAAAAGATCATTTTGGTGCTTCTTTCTGTGCTTGAAGCAATTTTTGCCACTAAGTGGATTTTATAGGAAATCTTAAAAGCCTCTTCTTCTTTAGGGCCCTAGAATTGCTCTAACAGAATACTTCCRTATTTGACGTTACCTTTAAATCCAGAGCCTAAAAACCAGTTCAGAGAAAGTTGACTTCTACAGTATTAAAACACCCTTGGCTTTCTTTTTACAGTTAAAAACAGTTAATTCTTCCCTAGTGTGGTGTAGGGAGTGTTACATGAATATCAAGGTGTCCTAGAAAAGGGCAGCAGAGTCTTCCTGAGAGTCACCCTCGCATCAGCCACCCACTCTGGCTAAAACCCAAGGGTACTGGAAAGATGCCCACATTTCAGGCCAAATCAAAACACATGTTCTATATAAGGTAGAAACCTTAGAAAATGATCATCT